TGATTATTTATCTGCAAGCCTAAGTGCTGAGGTACCAAGCTGCTCCTTTTCAGAGCTGGACAAACACTTACAGGGCAGTAGAAATCCCTGGAATGATTTTATGGCCATTACTTTGGCCCTTGTGCTGCTCATGTCTGTGAGTGTGTGCTCAGGCTATCCTGTGGCAAAGGTCTCTAAAGTCCCTCTTTGAAGGGAATTCTCTTTCCTGCCTATGTAGCTGGATCATTTTATTGCTTAGTTCTCTTTTTAATTCGTGACATTAAGGTAATAACAAACCCAAATATTCTTGCCATCAGCAAAGCTGGTAACGTTTTGTTCTACCACCAAGTGGCCAGAGGAAAAAAGGAATGCCAGTCTTTTTTATAACCACTGCTTATCCACTGCAAAAGAAGAATCATGTCCTGTTCACTTTTGGATGGAAATTAACACAGTTCCATCGATCTTTTTTCTTCATCCATGTCTTTGAACCTTCTTCTCATTCCTGGTGGTCTCTTGTCCACCTGGAGCTGTGTTACAGTGAGGTGGCCAAAGCTGGATATCTTGGCTTAACTTGAGGCTTAACTACTGGGAAGATGACATTCCATTTTTCACCTGTCAGGACATTCTGGGATAAGATGTTTTCCTCCTCCTTCTTGTTTTGGTGACATCAACTGGTAGATCAAAGTTCCATTTGCATTGTTGAAGCCCCTTCTGTGAATATTGCCGATAATTGTTTGTATCTGTTTGAATTTGTTTATTATAGATTGATTTCTTGCCTCTCTGTTTTGTTCCATCTGGACACAATTGATCTTTTTCCCAATTTATTGGGATTGTTGACTCCTGATGACCTGGCAGAATGGTGGCAGTGGATCTCCAGGGGCTGTCTGTGCCAGTGAAGCTGGAGCTGCTGTGGTTCCCCTGTGGAGCTGCATGCGAGGAGTTTGACAGCAAATTGCTGTTAATTTAAGAGGATTTTCTAGATAGTTGTACACCAAATTGTGGTGATTTTAATCTACATTTGATTTCCCTTCTGTGCTCTGAAAACATTATGTGGGCAAGGATTAAAAGCACTGCTTTGTTACTTTACTTTTCAAAGCAAATCACCCTAATGCTTCCCCCTAATCACGGGGACTGTTACCCCATTAGATGCAACATAGTAAATGGAACATAATTTGTTCCTGGCCATTCTGTATTGACAGATTTTCATCATTCTACCCCCTCCCAGTTACTTGTAAAATGGTTGTTTAATTCATTTTTCTTTTTGCGTTTCCTACATGTTGCGGCTGAGTAACTTGTAGTTTGCCGAGTTGTGCTTTTAAAGATGGGCCCTTTGTTTGCCTTCTGTTTGTCCAGAACCTTCCAGAATTACATCAAAGTTAATACTAGTTATTCACAATTAACTATTACAGCTACTTTTGAACTCTTTAGGGCAGACTTTATCAGCCCTACGTGCTTGGTTGTGTTCCATTTAAGTAGCTCAGAGTGGCTTCAAATGTGGCTTCCACAGGGTCAGAATTTTTGGTGTTCATTCCCTAGACCCCATTTTTACAGGAAGGTGCCTGCTGCCATTCCCAGTTCCTGGCTGTATGGGCATGTGCATAGAATCTGCTCCACAGCTTGGATAATTTATGATGTTTCCTTTTCTCTCCGGGGAAGGAGGATTTAGCACACAGCCCCAGTTGGGCTGTACTGACAGAAGTGTCATTTAACCTGCTTTGCCTTTGTTCTGGACTGTGTCTTTCTCTTGGTAGGAGAAATTACCTTGAGTCACCATTAATCTTTTAGTGAATTTGGAAGTGAAGAAGGCATCGATGACTTTAATTTTTTCCTTTCTGCTTTTTATGTGTGGTGTGTGCAATTTGTTTTGCAGTTCTGTCCCAAATTTTTTCCCTTCCTCATATGCTCTTCCTTGGTATAAACTTGTGCGTTGCTATTTCCATATTAGTGGTTTTTTTTTTTTTGATTAATTAACATCAGAGCCATTCCATTCCATTTCCCTTCTGTCAGTTTGCTCCTGTACTCTTTGTATAGTCTGTCCAGTAGGTTCCAGCTTTACATTGCTTCCCATTGGAAGTCTTTCCAAGAGACCACTTCCCTCGGCTTGCTGGTATCTCCTGTTTGTAGTCCAGTGTCCAATCTTACCATTTCTCTTAGAGGTGATGATTCTCTTTTATCCAAGGGACCTTCTGGTTGCAGTTTTCAGCCAGTTCTCTCCTGGTAGGAAGGAAGATGTTGAAGGCAGCTGATGATGGGGTTCAGCTGATGGAGGTTCAGCTCCTCTACATTCTGCAATAAATGCTGTTCCTGCCACACTTTCAGAGTGGGCTGAACAGCCTGTGACTGGCAGTGGTGCTTTTCTTGTGGCTCAGCAGCTCATTTTCCACGAGCTCTGGATGACTCCTGTTACTGTGTGGAAGTTTCGAACCGTGCCGTTCGCCTTTTCCTGCCTCTGACTAAACACAGTATTTCGAATTCCCAGACACATCAAAACTCAACCTAAGTTGACAGTGGGAATCATATTTACAAAAGAAAAAAGTCTGCCTGAGCTGCCAAGTGCTGTTTTGGTCCCCCCATGTCTGTGATCTCTGCTGTTGGTGAACAAACTTGGGTTTGGATTCGCGTAAACCCCCCGAGAACGTGGTGTGTGACCTGAGCCTCTCAGTCCCAGGAGAGCAGGGAGGATTTGCTCTGTGAACAAAACTAGTCACTGTTCTGTGGGGTGAAGGGCTTTGCACATCCACTCAGAGAGCAGGAACAACAGCACATGAGTGACATGCCCAACTACACACAGCGTGTAACCAAAGAGCTGAACCGAGCCGTTCCCAAATGCTCCCCAGTCTGAACACAGGCAGGTAAAATCTCCAGCAAAAGGCACGGATTGAGGGCAGTGGGGCTGCTTTAATGCTCTGTGGAACAAAAAAGGGCTAAATTTGCAGCCATCCCTGAGGAATTATCTGTGAGCGCTATCTGCAAATAATAATTTAATCAGCTTATTTGGCTGCCCGTGGTCACAAAGCTGTAATTGATTAAAAATGATCCTTGTTGTAACAAAATAAGGGCGCACGATAAAAACCGAGATTCTGAGGTGGTTCTAATGTGCCCTGCTCTGGCAATACGATAAGGAGCAATTCTGCAGAAAACCAAAGCATCTCACAGCAAAAGGTTTGGGGGCTGTTACAGAGAAGTCTTTTTTCAGACTTTAGAGTGGTTTAGACTGAATTTGGACTTCTTTTTTTCTTTCTGTTTTTTTCTTCTCTCTTTTCTTTCTTTTTTTTTTTTTTTTTTCAGTGCATTCATGTTTCCTCAGGAGCTGAATGGGGGAGAGGAACTTCTTTCAAAGGCTCCATGGCCCGTTTCCAATTCTGATAGATAAAGTCAACCCGCTTGGCCCCACCAAGAGGAAACAGGATGCTGCCCCTTTAAGCGGGCTGTAAGGAGTATGGAATTACGGCTAACTTGGTTTGGAGCCTTTGTGTAAGGCTTTCAGGAAGAGATAAACCATTAATCATGCACAATTACTCTGACCTTGCATGAACTAAAGCCTCTCTGAACACATAAGATTACGGTCCCCGGGGACCTTGAGACACTGACACGATCAGCTCGGGCCGAGGGCACGGAAACGGCTGCACAAAATGGCTGAAAGCTTGGCCTTCCCTGCCTTCCCTTCAACCAGAGCCTTTCTGCCCACCCAGGACAGGGATTCCTCTCTCCTGCAGTGCAAACAAAGGGGAAGGCCTTTCCCTTGTGCCAGGGTTGAAGGAATACACTCACAGAACGTGAGTGGAAGGGATGGCGGCGCTTCAGAGAATAAATTACGTTTGGGGTTTGATCAGATGGCTTCTAAAACTTACTGAGGTGGAGCATTCACACCTTTTTCTGCTGTCTCCCTCTGGGGGACCCTCTTTTTCTCTGGGGTTGCTACAGCTCATAGTCCAAGTGTGGTCAGTGGCAGAGATTCTTAGATAGCTCTGCAGTGCAATTCATTTTTGTTGGCGTTACTGCTTTCCTGGTGACATCCTCACCTGTTCTAAATAGACCCTAGGTGATCATTTTTCAGACCTTAGTCTTGTTTAGGATTTCTTTCACCTCTTAAACTCCTTAAACAACCACATCTCACACGCCTGCTCTGATATACTTTGCCCTGTCTCTTCTTTTCCCCTCCTCCTGGCACTAGCAGCAACATGTAAAATAATGTTAATAATGATGATGATAAATAAGCAATTAAGTATTCACTCATTAAGTAATTATTGATTCTAGCTTGTGATTTTTCAAAATTAGGGTGAGCTAAAAGTGCACATGAACAGAAGCTCAGCTGACTGACTCAGTGAAATGCAGTTCCTTGTTTGTTTGATCCCCACAGCTTCATTCACTTACCAAATTTATACTGCTGGAAATATTTGTTTACATATGGGATCATTTGATGTTGTTATTTACTGAAGTGCAGCATCTGTTTTGAACTAATTTTACATTGCTATGACTGTCTTTTCTCCTTTCTCACAAAGGAGTAATTGTATGTGTGCATTTGGATCTGCACAGAGAGAAGGTTATGCTGATTTAACTTAGTTACAACAGTTAGTAAGTAGCACTTACATGAGTAGTAGAAGATTTGTGTGTGAAGCCTTGCAGAGCACTTCTCCTAATAACCCCAGTTTACATCTTTCAAAGATTAAATACCTTTTAAAAACAAATGGTCTTTGTGTTTGAAAAACTGGAAAAAGGGTTTCTTTTTAGCATCTTGATTCTATACCTGCCTGCGAGCCATCTCTATTATGAGGAAGGTTGACATGAACAGGAATTCTGCTGGTTTAGCCTATATTTTTCTGCAAAAAGATTCATATTTTTACCCAAGCCTTTCCCTGTGTACCTCTCAGTTGGCAGAGGTTGCTGCCCCTTCCTTCACTCTGTGTGTGACAAAGACTTGGAAAAACTAATGTTCTATGGACTGTACTAATCAGCATTTTAAGGTTCCAGTGATAGAATGTTCTTTCCACTGAAGCAGCAAATTTCTGTTCTTTCAGAGCTGTGGTTTTAAGAAGATGGAGGTGGCTCATCCTGCGTTAAAGAACAGGACAGGGGATTCCAAACCAAAACACGTGCCCAGTTCTGACCAGCGCCTCTGTGCTGCTCTGGAAGAGGATGGGTAAGTCCAAAAGCAATAAATATGCTTTTCATAGACTGAATGTTGCAAAGAAGGTGTATTAGGAACTTCTTTAAAAGGGATTTAGAAGGTAGAACCACGACATCACAGAAGACCCTGAGTTGGAAGGGACCCACAAGGACCATTGAAATCCACAGGTACAGGGCTAAGGAATTATTTTAACAGGTCACATCTCTGGCAGGAATGCCAGACCTGTTGCATCAGGTCATCAGTCACTCTTGAGCTACTGAAGGCAAGAAAAATGCTTTTATAAGGAAAATTTCTCTAGATTGTTTGCTGCAAACCTTCTACACAGTGTTCCTGAGCCGTGGTCATAGTCACTGCTATAGACTGGGGATGGTAAGAGCTGATTTGGGCTTCTGTCAGAAGGGTATTAAAAGGCTCCCTGTGCCACAAGGCATTGAGGATGAGAGCCTGGTTTGAGGGAGCTGTCCAGTACTAGCTGGAGAAGACAGACACTGTGCTGCTCTTCTCCCTGGATATTTTATTAAGTTCTTTCCCCCCTCTCTTTTACATTTTCCCCTAACACATTCTAGAAGAACTGCCAATGGCTAAAGGGCTGTTGGCTCTAAGAAATATTCAGAGAAAGTAAACTCATTGAGAAAAACAAAATGAAAAAACCCTCCCAGGCAAACTAAAGTGGAAATTTAATGAAGAGCATAGAAATGAACAGAAGGAGGGGGGAGCATCTAAGGGGAAAAATATCATTTAGCTGCCATCAGCCAAAATATAACAGCCTGTAAGGGCAAGTTGATTTTGTCCTCACTAAAGCCAGATGTTTCTGAACGTTGCACTTGCTTCAGGAAAAGAGATACTGGCAGCAGAAAAGCAAGATGTGACTGACTGGGTGAGCCAGTCGGGAAAAGGTTGCCATAGGATGTGGCTGATCCATGATCACATGGAGAGTGCAGACTGAGACTGCATGTCTGGCTCAGGGCAGTCTGCATGTCAGCCCTGAGCCACTGCTTTTGGTAATGCTGGGTTTGCAAATGGGGAAGGAGGATTCCTTTCCCTGCAGGAGTTTTGAGCAGTCCGTGTTTTGCAGGATTTCAGGCCACCTGAAGGTGTTGGTCCCTTGTGGTGTTGGATGTGTTAATCAGTGGAATTGTCTCTGGCTGAAGGGGGGTGCTAAGGCACAGACTTGCCCTGATTGTGGTGCTGGGGGGCCACAACTGCCCAGGGCACTCTTGGGCAACTTGGATGCACAGCCAGTTCTCAGAGAAGCATGGAATCTTAACCCTGCTCCTCTTCTAGGAATGGGCTGTGGAGGGGATGGGAATTAGTTGTGAGGGGGAAAAAGCAGGAGCTTGGTATTAGGAGGGGATGAGGGGGGTCTGTGCTGAACCACATTTCACTGCTTCGAAAAAAAGGTGGATTCTCATCTGATGTAGCCCAGCTCCAGTCAGGAGTGAAGCAGCTGAAGTTGATGTCAGGGTTGAATCAAAATCAAGCCTGAAGGGAGCAATATCATTCCCACGTTGTTTTTCTGCTCTGTTTTTAGTCCTGTTGCACCTCATTGTGACCAAAGATGTGGAAAGCTCCACTGTAAGTGGGTTTAAGAATGGATCAGTTTGCCATTTGAAGGGAGAAACCCACTGCTTTGTGGTTGCAGTGCTGTATCTACACTGCAGTGCTGTCAGTACAGCTGTGGAGCTGTTCCTGAGGCAGCTGTTAACAAGCTTTGGTACTGTTTGTGCTGCCAGAACCATAATATAATCCTTATAGGCCTGCAGCTTCATCCTCTCCAAAAATATTACAGACTCTGCCTCTCCCTCTTGCCATACTGCAAGGAGCACTGCTGCTCACTCCCTTAAAACCACCTCAGCCACGTGTAATCAACCTATTCATCCTCTGGACTGAAAAGTGTGGATATTTTCTTTAGTTTTAGATTTGATTTTTTCAAAACTCTGAAAACCCGATCAAACAGATCCTGCAACTCCTGAACCCATCCTGCTTTTGCCATTCCCCATTTGAAATCCGAATTGTTTGTGTGGGTCAGAGGGATAAAAATGAGGAGAGAGACACACTCAGGCAGCACAGATCTGTGTAGCTCCCCTGCTGCTGCCAGCCCAGGTGACTCAGACCAGTGGAAGAGCTGGCTGAGGGCAGTTCCACACTAATAGGGAAGAGAGAACTCGAGGGGTTAAAGGCAAGAGCATCCCTTTTATAATTAGGACAGATCAGAAGTGGAGCAAAATGTTCTTGCAGCTGAATCAGCTGCCCTCTAACCAGCCTGGAGTCTGGAGCTGGGGCCTGATGGACACTTGTACAGAATGCAATTTAATCTGTAATGGCTGAGGAGGACTCCTCAAAGTCTGCGGCAAATGGCAATTATTGTCCCTTTTTGTCACATCCCCCCCAACCAAAACAAAAAAAAGAGGAAAATTAATGAAAATAACAACAGGGAAGCATCCTAACTAGCATGCCCTGCCTCCCCCTTTCTCTTTAAAAATCCTCTGCAATGTAGTGCCTGAAATGAGCTGCCCAGTATAATAAAATCTCTGGAGCACCAATGTGAAAGCAGAATTCCTCCCCCACACACATGCACACACCCCCTTCTCCCTAATGAGCAGGGAGACGCCAGCTCGGGGGCTGCAGCCAGTGTTAAATTAGCAGAGAAGGCCATCGAAGTGGGCTGACTCCAGCCTAAACTGCCTTAAGTGTCTGTTTATTAAATCACACCAGCGCTTAGAGTCTGCCCTGCTGCCACATCAGAGCTGTCTGCACACAGACAAACCCTGGGCAGTCCCGGGGGATCCTGGGCCAACTGGATCCTGGTGGTAATAAAGGCAGGGAGAGGGAGGAGGGAGCAGCCCCTCACCAACAGCCCCTCGTTAGGCTCCATCGGGTGTCATTCTTCAAGAGCAGGAAAACCTCTATTTAGGGTCTCTGTTTGCATTTCTAACATTGGTACCTGGACCTCTTGAAGCTGTGAAGTTGTCTTCCTCTCTCCTTGGTGCACAACAAGTCATGGCAGGCCTTTGCTTGCTAAACTGGTGTGTGTGAGCCTTGGAGAGCAGCTTCCCTGGGCCAGCTCCTACTGGGAAGTGTGGCCTGCAGTTTAAACTCTGTTGAGCTGCAGTGTGAGCAGGTTGGCAATGCCTCACGATTTTCTATCAGAATTCCCTGGTGTCAGTCTACCTAAGGCTTTGGAAATAGAAAAATCCACTGTTCAAGCCTCAAACCATCATATTAAGGCAGGGGAAAAAATCAAAATGCTTCTGTATCTTTGCACGGTGGGAGGTGCAGTGAGGGTTTGATTCTGGAGGGGATTTCTACATTGACTGCAAAACACTAATATTGCATATTCTGCAATTAGGGCAGGCAGGAGAGAGATATCCCAGCTGTAAACCCTGTTCTGTCAATCAGGAGACATCACCACTATAGCTGCTACTTCTGAAACAAGTTGCTCACCAACAGCTCTACTGCTGTCCCTTCTTTCTCAAGGAATAGTTTTTAAATACAATTGGAACCAGAGCTGCTGGTTTATGACCCCTACTGCTTATTTTCCCCATGGGTCTGTCTTGCTCTCTACCCTACACTTCCAAGGCAAGTCTTCTTTCTGCAAATATCCATGGAGAGGAGTCTTGGGGAGAAGTGGGATAACCTTTCCATCCCATAAGGAAGCCTAGAATGAAGTTTTGGAAAAGTGTCTGAAACAGTCCAAGTTTGTTCTTGTGAATTCCATGGGTTAGCTGAACAGCTCTTAAATTTGCCATCCTTCCACTTAGCCCTGATCTTTCTCTGCAGTAAGATTTTTAACCTTCAAACAAGTTTTCCCCCGCGTGTTGTCAGGTCAGGAAGCTGGGTGTACAACACGCAGCTCCAGTTGTGTTTATTTTAACAAACTGGCGATACTTCCATGCCTCTGTCCCCTGCTCAGCCTGCAGGTTTATGTCTTCCATGAGGGGTTTTTGCTGCTCCTAGGCTTCCATTGTGCAGCCCAGATGGCCATCCTGTGAAAGCAGGTTAGGAGTCGTGGTCAAGCATCCTTCTGTGAGGTGGCCCGTTGACACTGGAGAAGAGCAGCGGTTGTTGAGCTAATTTGTATGAGGAAGGAGCCATGTAAAGTTTAATATGAAGTGGTTGGTTTAGCTGGCAGAAAGGGAGAGGTGGGCTGTTTTCCATTTCCCTTCAAAATGTCAAACACTAATAGTCTCTTCCGCTCATCCCGAGATTGCCAAATAATTGACTCCCGCCTACAGCAAAAACCTCCCCGATCCACAGGGCAGGAAGCTGATGACAGCAATTGCCTGAACGTGTCCAAATTAGCCAACCCCTTGCAACCCCAGCAGGGTCAGCAGTGGCAGCCCAGAGGTCGTGGGGCAGCAGGAGATGGAGGCTGAAGATTGCCCTGCTTCCTCTGCCCTCTCATGCCTCCAGGACATAGCAAGGACATGAGGGATTCCCAGCCGGAGCAGCCGGCACCTGAACTGCATGTCCAACAGAGAGGTGTTTATTCAGAAGATCTGCTCTGAGTTAGCCAAAACAGGGCTTTGGGGGAGAGCAGGGGAAGTGCCTGGCCCTGGAAGAGGCAGCAGAGCACATGTGTGTGTGGGGTGACCCGGTGTCACACAGCCCCTGCCGTGTTTTCTCCAGGGTTTCCTTGCTTTGCTGCACGGGACTGACCTGTTTACAACTCGCTGGGGTCCGGCCCAGTGCTGGATTGTTTTTTCTGTGCCTTCATTTGCTCTTCTGCAGCTGTGCAAGCGACTGCAGGAAAACTTAGGGACACACAGGCCTGGGGCTGGGAGAGGAGCCAGGGAAGGGTGTCCACCAAGCTGTTCCTGAGTTGGGAGCCTCATCAACACATCCAGTGAGGTGTGCTGGGTTGTTTGCTTTTATAGAGTGATGGAAATAAAGCAGCAAAGAACCTCTGGCCCCGTTCCCCTCTCTTCTGTCTTTGAAAGGACTGCAGTGTGCCTGTGACTTCCTGAAAGCACCTCAAGCATCCCAGTGTTGTGGCCTTTTCATAAGATTAT